AAGACACATAAATATAGCATCACTAATCTCCCAGACAGATATGAATATCACTTTGGAACAGTGCATTACACTTAAAGAATATGCTCCAAGTATATTCTTTACATCTACATTAGTTTTTCATGATCATATGTTACTGTAAGTACCAAATGACACAAAGAATGAGACACAGTACAATGAAATCTATATTAGAGCCTTTTAGGCTGCCAGAATTACACACTTGATAATTACACAGCAATAATTAGAATCCACTCATTACCAAACATCACACAAATAACTGTAGAACAGATTATGATAAAAGTAGTCAAAGGCTTTGACACTGGTTTTTGACAATGTTTATCAGGCTTTTTATTTTTGACAGGTCTCCACTAAAAAAATTTTAGTAACGATGGGCCCAAATATGGCATCTATAATTGGGGAAGAAGGAATAAGTGAAATTCATAAAAATGAGAAATGCGTATCTTCTAGAAAGACAAATAAGAAACCAACTATTTCCAACCAATTCTGGAGAACACATACTAGAAACATTAGGCTACAAAAGCAATGGATGATGAAAAAGAGAAAAATCTGGGGTTTGTGGCATACAGAAAAGGAGGCTATCCTCTCTATAAGCAATCTTTTTCTTTCCATTGCCATACTCAAATTATAGCTGCTTTCTCTGAAAGACTGAGTTATATTCATTCAATATATATTTATTGAGTACACAAAATACAGATTGCCAAGATAGTAGTTTTTTAGAATAACAAAGTACCTAGCCCTAAACATAAAAAAGCATACCTTTCCTCACAAAAAATAAATTATAGAAACAAACGATATTAACACTAATTATAGAAACAGATTAGCTGAATTCTAAATGACACTAGGTCTAAGGAAAAAAAAAATTTGGCTGAGGGCTAAGCCCACCTCTGATTGAAAAGGTAAAAGTATCAGCCATACCCTGGGTATATTTCTTTAGATTATTAAAATTTGCAACTACCAGAAAATAATTACCTACAAAAGACTATATATGCTATATGTTTTATACAAACCACCCCCAATCCTCACAAAAGCACTGCAAAGTAAAGAAAACAAGGATCAGAGAATTTAGGTAATTTGTGTAGAGTGATTAAAGGGGATGTGAAATTAGGTTTACCTGACCCCAATCATGTCATATCTGGCCCACTGATCACAAATCAGTTCATGCTGACTCCTAAAAGAGGATCCTTTATCTAACCATTTCACCCAGAAGACCTATACAACATGGAGCTAAAAACACCAATGTGGGGCCGGCCTGGTGGCGCACTAGGTAGAGTGCAGCACTTGGGAGCGCGGCGACGCCCCTTCCGAGGGTTCGAATCCCATATAGAGACTGGTCCGCTCACTGGTTGAGCGCAGTGCAGGCGTGACACCGAGGGTTGCGATCCCGTTACTGGTCACGAAAAAAGACAAAAAGGAAAAAATAAAAACACCAATGTAAAATACAAGAATCAGGAAGAACTGCAAAAGGAATCTGTATAGCTCCAATTGAACTATAGTATCTGTTTGGGGTTTCATTGTCTAAGAAAAGCATAGAAAAGGGCTGGCCCGTGGCTCACTTGGGAGAGTGCGGTGCTGATTAACACCAAGGCCATGGGTTCAGACCCCTATATAGGGATGGCCGGTTGGCTCACTTGGGAGAGCATGGTGCTGACAACACCAAGTTAGGGGTTAAGATCCCCTTACTGGTCATCTTTTTTTTTTTTAAAAAAAAAAAAAGAAGGAAAGAAAAGAAAAAACAGAAAAGCATAGAAAAAGAAAAATGACTTAAGGTGTTAAAACAGATAGCCATATAGAAAAGTTAAAAACATTCTATACTGTTTACATAAACGTTTCTTTGGGTCTAAGTTCAATTCTATATTTAAGTTTGGCTACTCAGGTTAAATCTGATATGATCCTTAATAAAAGTTTAAATTTAAGAAGTACTTTTCTTTCCTTTCAGATCAAAAAGCTCTTATTGGCCTTAAGACAGACAAAGGGCAACCAACTTTTCCCATCTGATGGATTTCAAAAGTTCGTGAATAGTTCATAGAAAGATGCATACTATCTTTCAATTCTATTTTTCCACGAACTTTTTGAAGTACTTTGTACAGATGTAAAGAAATACAACAACATATAGCTCCATTTTCTACTCACTAATTGAAAAGGTCTATTTCATAACTTCTTAATAGATTTTATCCCTACAGAAAGAAATCAGTAAATGTTTGAGGTGGGGGAAAAAAGCAAACTAAACTATAGTGACAGAAAGCAAAGCTGGGGTTGGGGTGTGGGAATAGGGAGGGAGGGATTATAAAGAGACTCAATGGTAAGGAAACTTTGGGAGTACTGCATATGTTCATTATCTTGATTGTGATGGTTTCATGTGTGTATACAGATGTCAAAACTTATCAAATAGTATACTTTAAATATACGCCATTTACTGTATATCAATTATACCTTAACAAAGCTGTTTAGAAAAAAAACAGTAGGAAGACAAAAATAAATAAATAGATTTTATTTTATTTTTCCCACCTTTACTGAGGTACAATATTTGTGGGTTTTTTTGTTTGTTTGTTTTTATTTTTACTTATCAATATAAAATGTAGTTGAAATCCAATCATTTGTTTATTTTGTTTATTTTCACTTATTTTCCTACCTGGAGAAACAAACTTAACATGTTAGGTATTGTTGAGGCACAAGCTGGCTGACAAAGAGTTAATTCAGAGTATAACTGAGAACTCACTACTGAAAAGATAAAAATACTCTCACTGTAAGATTATATAATTGAAACTATTTTTCCTGGAGATTGTTTAAAGATAAGGGTGAAAAACTGAATATAAGGTGCCTTCATAATAGTGTGTGTTCAAATACATACCTCACCACTTAAAGACAAAATGCAGGCACTTGAACTTCATTTCAATTCTTGAAATACCACATTCAGATCTTGGTGAAAAACTTAAAAAAAAATTTTCAACACACGAGAGGGTTTCTACAGGAAAGGAGCCAAAGATGGTGAAGAATTTGAAAACTTGTCGTATTAGAAATAGTTGAAAAGAAATGGGTATTGTTCATAACCTTTAGAAAAACTGGTTGGGGAGGAAGAAAACACAGGAAACACAGGACATACATAGCTGCCTTAAAATATTTGGAGATTACCAGGAGAGGATATTAGATTTATTCTGTATGACCCGTAACAGAAAGACAGGGCCAGTAAAGAGAACATACAGTGAGATAAACTTCTAATGAATATGAGTACAAAACAGAATGGCCCTCACCTGAGATGTCCTACAAAAGGAGAAAAAGGAAGGAAGGAAAAAAAAATGGAATGGCCTGTCTCACAAAGTAAATTTCTCTTAATGGAGATAGAGAGGCTAGGTGAACACCTAATTAGAAAGCATAAATTGAACTAAAGCATATGAGTAAAGATTGGTCCAAATTGGTGGGGTGCAAGCATCATTGAATGTTTTAGAATCTTTTTGAAATGTGTAGTGTTTGTATATATATTTGTGTATAAATTAAATATGTGAATTACTGTTAATGGGCATATTAAATTATCATTAAAGCTTATTTTTTTCCGTTTTGTAGATTAAAAAATAAATGTAAAAAAAAAGTTCTAAGTTTTTTCCTATATTTTGATGGATCATCTTATGCATCCCCAGGGGTGCAGATACTCTACTTTCAAGACCAATGGTCTATATAAATTATATAAGATCTCTTTAGAGCTATGTTCAATTTACAGACATGAATTTTTAGAGTTCACCCAACAGGTAAACAACTGATCCTAAAATAATAGTTACAATTAATTTTTGTTAAGAACTTACTATTTACAAGACCCTTGCTAGGGGCTTTGTTATTTAAATAAAACTGAAACTCAAAGAGATCTATGGAACCTACTCCATGACAGAGCTGGTAAGGAGAGCTGGGATTTGAACACAGGGTGATACACCTCCAAATCCTATTACTCTTGAGCAAAGGACGTTATTATGTTCTATATAGAAAAGACTACTTGAAACAGTGATAAATTCTAATTTACTAAGTATTTTCACTTATATTTTCTATTACTACTACCCAAATTAAGTGATACCCCGAGCAAAACACTTTCATCTCAATCCTAAATTTCTTATGGGCAAAATGAAAAAGGCATACAGATAGAGAAACTGAGGAACAAAACACTTATCTGAAGCTACAAAACAGGCAGAACTGAAGATTGCAAAATATTCCCAGTTAGGTAGTATTTTTTTTCTTTAACTATGAATATAAGGTCATCCTTCTTTCTCTACAAGGGTAAAGTATTTGAGCAAAAATTTGTTCCTTTGTTCCACACACTTGGATTTTGTATTATTTTGCCAAATCAAACTCTTACAATACAAAGTAGCTTTCACACTTTTACTGATGCCTATGGTTTGGTAACATTTTTAAATATCAGAAAACAAAAAACAAAAAAAACCCTGAGCCACAAACTCATGCAATCTCCTCTTTAAGAACCAGGCTGGATGGGGCTGGCCACTTCGCTCAGTTGTTTAGACCACAGTAACACCAAGGCCAAGTGTTCGGATCTCCATAACTGAGCTAACTGATCAATTAATTCTTCCCCCCTACCAAAAGAACTAGGCTGGAAATGTATAACATAGAGGACTATGCATTTACAGGATTCGAATAATTTGGGAGTTTGATAAACTGTTATACTCTTTACAATAAAAATGAAGAATGAGGGCTGGCCAATTAGCTCAGTTGGTTAGAGCACAGCCTTATAACACCAAGGTCACAGATTCAGATCCCTGTAAGGGCCAGCCACCAAAAAAAAAAAAAATCCAAAAAAACAAAAAACAAACAAAAAACAAAAAACCAGGAGCTGTCACAAAAATCCAACTGACTCTGGGTTTCCTGCCTCAGGCAGAGAGGCAAGGGCAATATTGTAAGATAGCCATGTTCCGAATGGTGAAGTTGTAAACAAAGAATTTTCTTAAAAAGTACCAAAAGAGAGGGATTTGACTCCCAGCTCACCTTAGTGATTCATAAAAATTTCCTTGTGCAGCAAGTCATTAACTTCTGAGATCACAAAGAGCAGGCTCAGTTAGAAAAACTCAGCAGAATGGAGATAAAAGGTCCAAAAAACAAAAATGTTGTTAATTTTACTACAGGGAAGCTTTAATTGTCCATTAAAACGAGTTCCCTGGGAAGATGAGAAGCAACTTGTACAATTTTCCTGCATTTTCTATTTTCTCTACTTATCTTGGACTATGACAACACATCAGAATTTCCAGATGCTTATACCAGCATAGTGTAGTGTATCTAATCAGAAGCCAGTTCCAAAAACAAAGAATTATAAATTCTCAAGCTGAGTTGGATGTTTCTTTAGTTGGAACCAGGAAACAGGAGGAAAGTTGAATTAAGAATTAAAAGATTTAGAATGTTTCCACTGAGATCTAAGACTCTTCATTTTGTTTCAGAGGGAGTCTGCAGGGTTCATACCTCATCCTGAATACCCTGCCTCAGTGGGCTGGTGGGTGGGCTCTCAGGTTCCAGCACATCCATAAGTTATTATCAAATGCCCAACCCAACAAATTAAAGCACAATGATTTCCTACTCCTCCCCTGCTCCCCCACAAGGAGGCAACCTTTCTGTCACAACAATGTGCACAAGATACATCGAAAGCAAAGACAATCCTGTGTATTTTCTCTTGCCTCTTTCTCCACACCTTTACCTCTCACCCACACCCTAACTCCAATTCAAAGCTGTACAAAATGAGGTCCTATGGTGGGTGTAGGTGGTCTTTTCTTTCTCCATGGGTAGGCTCTACAAAGAGGCCAAAGCTTCGAGTGTTTAGCTTAGTTCAAATGTTTAGTTGTCTATATAAACTTTTTTGGTACGTAATTTTTTTCGTATATAAATTATGAAAAGCTGCGCTGGCCTGGGAGCTATGGAAAGCAGAATAATGACTCACCACACAACGGGTAAATCAAACCTGTAGACCAGAAGGCCCTAATCTAGCAAATTGACGTGAACCAGGTTAAAAACAAACAAAAAACACAGAAAGTCTATCTGGTCTTTGACCTTTGTGAACAAAAATAAAAAATAATAATAATAAATCTACCCACTAAAAGGTATAACTAACTCGTTGACCTTGGGCAAATCACCAGCGTCTCTAAAATGAGGTGCTGGGCTGGATAGCCTTCTAAGAAATAATGCCTTCTGAGTCGTGACAATCTACGGATCTTCTCAATTCATCAGACGAAGCAACAGAGAAGTTTCTAAAGAGTTGGAATCTTTTAACAAAGAGGGCAGGGAAAATTGCTCCGTCAAAAAACAACAGAGTAACTGGTTTCGGCCTCCGACAAGAGGTAAGGGGAGAGAGGGTCTGAGGTTCAACCTCAGGGATGGAGGGAAAAGGCGACAGCTGAGACTGGAGGCAGTAAGAGTTGCTACACTGATGCTCGCAGGAGCGAACAACCGGCCAAAGGGAGATGGGGGTGCAGCGAGGCCTACTCCGGGGGGGGTGGGCAGGGCGGTCCGCC